TAATCTGTTTGGTCTTCTGTTGCACGAAATCAGAGAGTTTCGTTCAATTGTCAACACTGTATCAATGTCGTCAACATTTTCGTCGGCGTAAGATTCTCCTTCTGCCTCACTGTTGAACTGGAGCACATGCGAGTCATCTGCGATTTTGTAAAGTATCCTGCCCGCCGTTTCTTCTTCAAACTGCCAACCTCTCCAAACTTGAAGGATGTTTCAGTGGCGATGTTGTATTCTTCTGAATGCCTTAAAGTTTTGATATATTAAGACCAACCATTCTTCACAATTAGGTGAGTCCAGGGAGTTTCCACGAAAGTGATCTTCTTCAGCACTAGGTTTACAGAGTACAGATTCCAGAAGTGGGCGATGTTTGCGTGAAAGTGTGGAAATTCCCCAATTAAGTTTTTTGAGTGCGTCGTTGAGGTCAGTTTGGGCTTTCCATATTGTTAATGATTCGTCCACAGAAAAGCAAAAAATTACAGGAATTACTGGTTTAGTGGAGGGCACATTTGCGCATTTTTTGACAATGTGCCAATCTCTCTCAGCACTTGTAATTGGAATACCATGTATCTTTAGATACGCTTAGACTTAAAGGATTTGTGACGTGCAAGAACGCTGCTGCTTCAAGCGTTCTTTACTGGGAGGATTTTTACGCCGTGGATATTTTTTCCAGGGCAAGCCATACATGCTTGTACATTTTCAAGAAGCTGCGGATACCGTCTAAAATATTGAATGTTATTATTTGAAAAGCAAAAAAATTTTTTACTAACCTTCTTCTGACGAAGCCCATCATATCGCGATTATCCGTTTCAAGTTGATGAAGCGTTCATTTTCCAAAGTTTTGCCCATTTCTAATAGGACACTTCTCCGTGATGGAGCTGCAGAATAAGAATGCAAGCTGTTGAGATATGCTATTTTAAATTTCCTCCATTACAAAAACGCCTCGCTGGCTTGCTAGAGCATCAGCTAAAGCGAAATCAATTTTATATATGTGCCATGCAGTGCACCCAGATCACTGGGGCAGCCAAAACCTCATATATCCCCTTCTTGCTGCCAAGATATCTCTACGAAATGCGAAACATTCTTGTTGAGTATGCCTCGAAGCCCTCCTTGTGCGCTCATTACCGATGCTCCATCCGTGGCTACCGCAACAAGATTCCAAACAACTCGTTGAGCAGCCCTGTTTTTCGAAAGTACGCATAAATCGCCTCGAAGATGTAACTTCCCATCTCAGATTCCAACAGTCTGAGAGCTTCAAGGAAGTGGGTTGTGGGAAACGTAGTTCGATCAGGAAAGCGCACGAAAACTAGAAGGATTTGCTTGTTCTCAGAGTCCGTAAATGTATCTACTGAGAGTGAGAATAAAGATAGGTTTTTTTTAGGTAGAGGATTAAGCTGTCTTTCATCTTTTGTTCATATAACCAATCATTTTCACGAAACCGTCGCGTGTGTTGCGTCTCGTATCTATCTCCAATCCCAATTTGGACATGGTTTCACACAGTTGTAGAAGCCGGGGTCCTAAGGAGTGCGCGAGAGTCCGTATTTACTCCGGTTCCGACTTCAAGGTTAATTCGAGCTATTTATCAATTAGAGTTACAAACAAAATGAAAAAAAGAGAGAGAATGTGTTATTCACGTCGAACATTGTAGAAAAAAGATAGAGAACAAAAACGAAAACAATGATGTGCTGATGCGGTCGTCCCATCATTGCTTCCTGGCCGTGAGTATTTATGCATTTTTGTAGTTTATAAACCCCAAGGCCTATTGTATCTAGAATGGCACGGCCGATATAAACATTACAATGTTTTGACGATGGAATGCACTACAAGTGCATCAGTGGGATAGCTGCAGAAGTTGCAGTCTGCAGAGCAGTCTTGATCAGATGTTGCAGACTAATACTGAGTTGTGATAAAGCGATATAAGGCATGTAATAGATTGAGTTGCATTACACAGTGTCAGAAACTGATATGGCGGGAGGTACATTTTTGCTGCCGCGTGAGCGGGTGAAAAGGCGGCTTGCTGCTGTTCGATCTGTGGAAGTGAACAGCATTGAAATAGCTATTTACTGTCGTTGGTCTTGCGTATGTAAATTCTACAGCGGCTTGATGTATGGCATGATCAGATCAGATATGGTTTTGCAATGTCTTTTCTATACTAAAAATATTGAAATCCGCTCCCTCTTTTGTTGAAACTGCATGTGGGGAGCCCCTAGCTTGTCCTGATTGATAGTATTCGTATCAGGGCTCGCAGCGCACTTTCCGGACTCGCCTTCTCCGAGCCTGATTAAGGTGCTTTAAAATATAAATCTCTTTCATCTTGCAAACTTCGCACAGTCCTCTTTTCTTTTGTCGCAAAGTTTTCAGAATTTACGAGCATGTCGTGATCGCGGCAGAAAAAATTGGATCTTTTACGCGATTCATAGACCAACATCGCTTACCTGGTGTAAATGCTTTTTTTTGTAAGTAAACGATATGAATAAACACAAATACTATTTCTTTTGTAAATCTATAAGTGTACTTGTGTTTAAGGTGCTCAGTCTCCAAAATTTTAGTAATGATTTTCATTTTATATTCTCAGAGTACAATACCAATCTCAGCCATAGATGAAGGGCGTAAAATCCATCACTCTCATCGCAAATGATCAGATGTGAATTCCCCATGTTTTTTGGCTATCAGTAAGATGTCGCGCTCTGTGGCTTGATGATACGGTCTCATGCATATAAATATGCCGACAGTGCACAGTCAGAGTTATTCACAACGACTTTTGTCCAGCTTTAACATTATTTCACTCATATATTTGTGGCTTCTTTCAATCATATCATTCCTGTTTGAAGCTCATCATTTAGTAACATCATTTGTTATTTGTTCTATCCGTGTTTGCTGTTGTTATTTATGTCGGTGATAAAGTATTATTATCCAAGTTTGAGGTGTGCTCATGTCAACCGCTCAAGATCCCCGTGGAAGTTCATTTCTCTTAATTGCTCAATACTATCACGCTGTGGTTCAAACCAATATACGGCAGGTTAGCTTGCAAAGTTGCCAGCAACATCTCTTGCACTTCTCAGTATTTTCTGTAAGGGGACCTCTGGGATCTCAACTTTCAGTGTAGGTTTCTTTAAGGTCCTGGTGGCATCTTCATAGAGGGGTTTTCTTGAAAATGCTTTGAACGGCCCAAATGTGGAATATTAGTTTTTGGCGACCTCACGGCAAGGTGCCGACGGGGGAATTACTATCAGTTTAGATGCCTAAAAACGGCACAAAGCACCAACGCGACACTACCATCGAATGCTCTTCTAGCTTCGCTAGCGACATTCTTCCTAGTTCATTCCACGAAAATTTTGGAACCGAGATGAACTTACTATTTGCAACACCACTTTATGAAGTGTCCACGCCGAAAAAATGTTGCAGGAATTTCTATATATGGTTATATATTATTATCAGGCCGAACGGAAAGTTTTGTTGCTTTACACTTCATGCGATGATAATGCATTGCATTGATGTAATGCGGACAGAAAGGTAAGCACCGAAAAAGTAAGCAGGGCATTTTTTTGATAGACCAAAGCAAGCTCTACAAGATGGCATTGAAATGATTGCAGGAATTTGACTAACGTATTCTTTGAAGCGAAAATTTGGAAAGCTTCAAACGCTAAAAAAATCTTAAGAAATCGTATTACCGTCTTAATATCTTCTGCAAATCTCCAACTGGGTCAAGTATACATTCCCCACATCGAATACTAGTAGATACAGTTGCTGGGTTTTTCCATGATTAATAATCGAGGAACAAAAATAGGCCAAAACGTCGTCAATTTTTCATGCAAAATTTCACTTTTTTCTGAAAAAGGCGCTGTTTGCAGGCTGAAAATTCATGTCCGCACTTCCGAAAGCTTGTAACATATAATTAGTGACGTGCGAACACCCTAGCACTGCTTTGGCAAAAGCATGCCAATATTCCTTTTTTCAGTTTCTAGCAGCCGAAAAAATTTGGCAAATGCACATAGGAATGTAGAATGTCGAGCAATAAATGCTCGAGCGAGCTGGAGATCAGCAGAAACTTTTGAGGTGGAGATACGACAGTTTTTATTTTCTAGAATTTGAAACAAAAGCCATATTGTAGAGCTTGCTTTGATCTGAAAAACCCCAGATACATTTTAGATATCTATTTTGCCGCTCGCACGACATACCAAGTTGTAAGAGACAAACGTTTTGGTTCGATATCTTATATAATACTTGTACATTAAGAGATTTATAGCTGACGACTTGCTGCCACTCCAGCTTACCTGCTTTTGTAGATTTTCTATCTGTCCTCTAGAGTAGCTAATCCGCTTTTGCCGCGTAATTCCGGTCGTACTGTCACATCATTCAGTCGCGGAGACTTCATATAGCGGTGGTGTAAACGGTTCGTTTATCTCGTTTTGGAAATTTTCGGGGATTGAATTAGGATGAGGGTCGGAACTACTAAACTAGAAGATTTGATGGTCATGGATGATGCTTTGTGCCGTTTGACCTCTGAAGATGAGCGCTTCAAAATTAGGCCATCCGAACAAAAATTCCACCATCCCACCAAAATTCCAATCAATCGCAAATCTGTTTGATACAGCGAGACTGAAAATTATATACAATGCCTAATTTGAAGACATTGGAACGATCAAGTTATTTTATGTAGGTCTCGCACAATGTTTCATCATAAATCTTTACATACACACAAGCCACTTCAAATTATCGAGCTTGCTCAATGAACCATGAAGGAGGAAAGAACAATAACTTGTTCAGTATTCAATTCATAGGACAAAGTTTAGTATGGTCCGATGCACTTGCTTGTCTTCTATTTCAAATTACCAGTAATTTGATTTTGAATAATAGAAAGCAGGATTTGAGTGTCGTTCTCCACCAAAGCTTATAAATGGCTAATGTCACCAAGCATCATACAAGTATGACATATTTACTCAAAATGTCCGCTGTTAGTTTCTTATAGCCATTTGTTGCTTGGATCACAATAAATTTTCTAGATAATGACTATCATTGCATATACTTCGCCCAAAAAGTGGTGCCTTAAGCCCTCGGTGAACGATAAAATAGCTTTTCACCTAAGCTTTTACTTGAGCGGACTGGTGGGTCTTTGTGTGTTTGTTTGCTTATCAGATAATTCCTTTATAGACATGTGTAATTCTATAAAGGAATTATCTGTTAAGCAGGAGCAATGATACAGGAGTAACAGTGAATTATCTTTTATCCGGAAAACAGTTGTGCTATCTTTGATTAATGTTTACACTCTCAGAAGCATTCCTGCAAAGCACAAGGAATTGTAGATAAAGGTTTGGACGCCGGCGTTTATAACAACGCATCAGCCCATGAAGTGTGCTTTATAAAAGGGTAAGCAAAGCTTTTAGCAACTTTTTGTTGTATACAGTAGTCGAGCTTAAAGATTATTGTGATTAGTATGATAAGACTTTCTTCTTATTGATTTGGTAAGTAACTTTATTATTGCAGCAGTTATACATTTGCGAGTGCTGCCAAGATTTTCGTGGATACCGTTGTTGGTGACATCATTCGGGTAAGGATAACTCGTCCTACTGTGAAGAAATTGCTTTTATGATGAGTTAAACTTGACAGTGATATGCAGTGTTTGAAGTACTTTTTTGATTTACAAAATCTTTCGCATATTTCTGTACGAATCTGAAGCATATAAAAGTTCCCGAAAATTTGACCCACGCATCCTTTGCATCCTACTTTGATTTTTTGAATGGATATAACATTGTCACTTGTACCATAGTATGTCTTCTTCTTTGTTCTTCTGAGCTGTTTTTTTAAGAAAAAACTTCGCTTATGTATTACTGGTCTCTCAGCAGAAAAATTGGTTTTTGCTATCACTTTTGCGAATTTGGAAGGGAGATTTTGAATCTATGTTAGGTTCTGACTACGACAGATTTATCAGTCTTTCGCACGGATAAGTTGACCTGTACGGGCTTAATGCGTCTTTTATTTCCGAGATTTCAGGCCAGATTCACGTCAAGATATGCACGCACAGTTCATCATGGCTGCGTGTTCGAGGGGCGCTTATACGAAAACATGGATAGATTTCTTTGTTTGTTCTTGGATAAACGAAAACGCCGTAGGCGAAGGCCTCTTCACGTTTCATAAGCAATAAAGTATTGGTATTTGTGTTTAACCGTAGGGTGTCTAACAATACTGTCAACGCGTAGTTGTACAAGAAATTCGGCTTCACATAATGTAGTAGTGCTCAAAAAGAAGGTGGCTATAAAGCTATGGCAGCCCTAATTGCAAGCTTTTTTGTATTTTTCTCCGGCCACAGTAAATTGGAGGTATTTCTGCCTACTACCATTACGTTCACCTACATTCGGAATAGTAGGATTCCAGACGACTTCAACAAATAACAAATTATTGCAATTTGTAGGATGGCTTTATAGCAGTGTATACTCTGATAGAGCCTTCCAAACTGTCAGCCGTCTGGTTTTTCAATCGTTAGGCGGCCCTCGCTACATTAGGGGTGACTGGTCGCCCCGTGGACAAGAAAAGACCTAGTAAGTCTGCTCTTGTAGGGGAAATTTCTTACTCAAAGCAAGAAGAAGAGAAAAATTTTTCTGCATTGGATCGCGTCTAAAGCGACGGTGGAAGCAAGAACCAAAGAGGCATACTAAGGCCTTCAGATCACCTTCTAAATCGGACAAAAAGACTCTGCTTGGAACGATACGCCATGGAGACTGCCTCATAGTCTGCAACTACAACGCAAGGCTAGTCTACACAACGCGCTCCGCGATCTTCTCGGCACCGCAGGGCACAGTCAGTCGCATTTACCTCATGTATGCCTAACTTCTAAAAAGAGCTTAATTCAGGCAATGTAAAACTAAAAAACAAAAAGGACTGAACCTATACCAGCACCATCTTATGAGGCTAACGCATATACACTGCACGCCAGCGCACCTCCGGGACTGGCGTTCCGTCCCTTGAGCAAAACAACTCAAGCAAGCAACTCTCGACGCGCGAAAATCCGCCATAACTTCTTTCAAAGGGACAATCAGCAGGAATGGAGGTTAAAATTGACATCAGTGTTCCAAAACGAATGTATGGTATACATCCCATTTTAAAAAGCCAAGAACACAGTCTTCTGCAGCGACTCCTATCACCGCTTCCTTCGAGCAAAAGTACGATTCAGTCGAAAGCTGGAGAAGAGGCTTGCCACAGTGACAGAAGGAAGGAGGCATTTTATGATGACGAACTTGAAAAGCTCAAGCTGTGACTAGTCAACCGAAAAGGACCCAACGTAACGATCTCAGAAAGTACAAGCAGGCCACGATAGTGGAAGAAGCCGAAAGACAAAGTTTTGAGAAGTGGTAAAGGGACCTCTGGAATATCACGTGCCCCTGGCTGTTTCAAACGAAGACGGGTTCCCGCCTTCTTCCTATAAGCTGATCTATCTCGAAGAATTTCTGCATTAACCTCTTCCTTTCATCAACAATGTGTGCCGATGTTCATCGTGGTGAAAAAGTACCACCAAGGATTCTATAGGGCCTGATTGCGAGAGCCGGCGATGTGCGGACACTGCACACGCAGGATGCCTCAAATAGTTGAACGTACTTTTGAAAATCGTTTCAGGTATTGAAAGCTAACATCTGATAGCAGAAAATGGTAAAGGAAGAAGATAATTGAGAAGCTCGATGCGCGCAGTAGCCGCAAGCTACTACCGACTTTCGCGATTATGCAGAGTCTACACCTGGTATACGGTATAAAGAGATCCACGGCTCTAGAACGTAATCATCTTTCCATCAAACTTCTGCAAGGCGGATGACGTCTACACGAGATTCCCGCATCACATCCAACTTCTTAGCTTCAAAAGGAATGGATTCCCGACCTGTAGAGAACTTTATGAAGCAAACTTCTCTTCAAGAAAAGCAAACGAGAGGATCTTCGGAACTACCACCCGATATGCCTGCTGAATATGCTGTACAAGTTGTTTGCGAAGATTATCCTGAATATCGAGAATTCTTATGACAGCGCCTAGTGTATCTAGTGATTTCCAAGATCACATGAGAACGAACTTAGTTATTTTGTTCTCTTCTATCTGTTTTTTGCAACTGGCAAACACGCATTAACGATGAAAAGGGTACAGAGTTATTAAACATTTCGTCGCTCTAATTAATCAACGGACAGGGACAAAAGTTCATATGCACCTAACGCTCATCTTCCTTTCATTCATGCATCACACAAGAATGAAGCCTTTAAGCAAAATCTTTGCTGTACGTTGAATAGTACCTCCTACTCATCTTAACTCTTGTCAAAACATATGCAGCAGTATTCAGTTAACAATTGCACTGAGGTATGCCTCTTCGCTCAACAAGGAGGCAAAATGTCACAGACCTCTTATGAGCAAGTATGTGAAATATTACCTGAAATCGTACTTGACTAAGAGTGAACATACTTTACTGGTAAGTCTTGACACGTTTTTTAATCATATCGCGATAAAAGTCGACACTTATAGGATGCATCAGCTGACTAGGAAGTTGTTTTTAATAAGATTAGATAAGTGGTATACGATCAGGGTTCAATTTTTAACATTCAGAGACATTCTTGTTCTGCTCAGACCATTTCCGACATGGATTTAAAAGCCGGTGTTTATTACAGACTAGCAATTTTCAAGATATGCTGGCAAGGGTACGTTTAGTGTTACTATTCTTTGTGTTTTCTTGTAGAAAGTTTAGCTCTTATGTATTGCAACATGAAACGAACTGACAGAACTGTTTGTTTTTGCAGTAAGTATTGGGACAAAGAAATTGCCAGACATTTCGTTGATACTCACGGCAGTGAGATTTCTCAGGTAAGGAAACACTTTATGAAAGGATTTTTTTCGTATTACGCGCTAGGTACATTCTCCTAGATAAGAAATTCTCCATCGAGGTTTGGTCAGGTTGCCATATTTGCAAAACTTGAAGTTTTAACGCTGTTTACGATTTCAGACACGCTTCACGCGCAAATTTGCATGCCAGGTCCATGACGGTTGCCTTTACAATGGAGTCTTTTACAACTACATAGAGAAGCAAATTAAGCATTTAACTTGCACTTTTCTAGAAAAACGAGACAGACATCGTCCACCTAGGTAAATGCTTAACATGTTCAACATGTCTCCGTCTCCCCACTTATCGCACAAAAGTTAACATTTACCTTATGCTTTATCAAAAAGCACATTATTTGCCTCCATTTGCGTGGATTTTTTTATGCCGAATCTTTTATGTGAGTGGCCTAAAGATAAGGCGAAAGGCACTGCCTAGGTGTACGGTGTGGGATTTGCTGTGTATGGCTTTAGTTGAAAAAAGGAAAAGAATTTTTTACACAGTATAGTTTTCGGTGTACTATGGAATTAGAATAAAGTTTAAGTGTGACTTTTCTTCATAAAATAGCATCCAACAAGATAAGAATTGCGGCCAACCAAACAATTCGCTTGAGTTGAAGACACTAATAGATAGATGAAAGAACAAGTCATTTGGTAGATATGTCATATGCACTTTTGTTCGGTCTTACTATTATAGCAAGACAAGACAGAGGAACTATAACACATATTATATTTGCATAAGGTACAACGTTCTTGTTGCGCTGAATCGAGAATGGTCGATTAAGCGTAATTATCCATGGGTCCGCTTTCACAATTTATTGGAAGACTGACCAGAAAGCGATACTAATTATTTTGAATTTCAAAGGCAATGTCCACAAAGATTCTCGATTTCCATGTTTTAGTCGTTCCGCGGCCTTTTCATGTCTCTATTTCAAATGTGAAGTCGAGAATCCCTTTCCGGAGTATCCGCGGCCGGTTCTCCGGAACGGCGATTGGATGGGCGCGCAGGGTGGGCGGGCGTTATGGGGGAAGGGGTGTCGACATCGGGTCCTCATGTTTCTTCCCCATTCCGAAGCGATATTATGCGTCGCGACTTGGGTATTAACCTGATGGGAAGTCCTACCTATCGTAAGCTACCAAACGCTCAAGATTTCCAACTTAAGGTGGGTGCTGCCTTCAAAACTATGCTTATTCTTTGATCAACACAACACGCATGCACAAACGTGTAAGCACGGTTCACTTCCGAATGTACATGATATATACTTGGGAGCGGGAAGACTCATGGCAGTGAAGAACGGACCTGAGTGCTACCCCGCATGTTTTCGATAACGTTTACAAGCGCAGCAAACCCGCTGGCAACCAACGTAAACCAAAACTAATTATTTCGATACAATTCCGGAACATAATCAATTGAAAGAGCACATTCATTGTTTTGATTTGATTCCGAGTTGCACAGAGAATGTGCATTTCTGGTGCAATCGATGCGTAATTGCTGGTATAGGAGCCTGCAGGATCGCGAGAGTCGGACGCGCGTACGGCCTTTGCGCCGCGCACGCCTGATATCGCTGGGTCGTAGTCGATTAAGGCTAGATAGGTAAGTTTTTTTTGTTTTTCTTTACATTTCACGCCTTCTTTTCTTTTCAGATGGTGAGCACATGTTGGTGCGGAGGAGTTTAAGATCTGAATTAAGGTGAGGTGCAGGATTATGCTCAATACGGACTCAATATTGCAGACTCTCCATGCCTGCTGGTTGAGATGTTGGATTTTCTGTCCTGGCTGCCCTGTTACAGCAAACTGTTCTATTATATTTCTACCGTCTATTCTACCTTATCTTGCATATTGCTTGTGATGATGATGAAGATGATGACAATGATTATGATTGTGATGACGCGCATGATGCAAGATGAGGTAAAACAGACGTTGCAAATAAAACGGAGTTTCGTAACCGGGCAGGCAGGACGAAAAATCGAACATAATGGGACAGCCAGAACAGAAAACTCAACATTCTTCAAAGCAGGGGTGAAAAGTCCACAATATTGGCCCGTATTGAGCATAATCCTGCACCTCACCTTAATCTAAATCTTAAACTCCTCTGCACCAACATGTGCTCACCGCCTGAAAAGAAAAGAAGGCGAGAAATGAGAAGAAAAACAAAAAAATCTCACCTATCCAGCCTAAATCGAGTATGACCCAGTGACATACGACGTGCGCGCCGCAATGGCCGTACGCACGTCCGACTCTCGCGATCCTGCAGGCCCCTATAAAAGTCTACTGCAGGGGCGCAACTTTCGAAGTTCTCTGGTCCGTAGTAAAGCTTGATCAGTTGAGGTGAACTCAACTTATCCCATCAGTTAAGCTTAAGTGAGGTGAACTGATGACCGTCCACCTTCCCATGCTATAAGATGGTCAAGTCAACTGATAGTTGGCTATCTGTCCACCTGCTGCAGTCAACTGTTCCACATCCGTTCACGTTGAGTTGAACTGAACGTGAACGGATGTTAGAGGAATGCAAATAGCGTGTAAAAGAGGAGACGCAGACAAGAGTTGACTGCATCTAACATAAGTTGCTCCTGAGTAACTTACGATACACACAGCTTTGCCAAAAAATGCAAAATCGGCGCAAAACTGCACAACCGCGCCCGAAAAGGAGAGGATCGATGAACAGCTGATTTTGGCGCGGATAACAAAAAAACAAATTCTTCCCTTTTTTGTAAATCTCACTGGTTTTTTTTTCACTAGCTGTCCAAAACAAGAACTTATTTATTTATTTCATTAAATTCACGCTGCAGTCATTTCGTTTTTTCATAAAATTTTCGTCACAAATTGCGTTGTTGTTTTATCCGTGTATTTGTTAGGCGAAATCCTTGATAGCGGTCATCATCGATTGCATAGTGGCCGCTATCAAAGATTGCCCAGCGATGCATCAAAATACGTGTCGCTAGTCGGACTCGAACCACGGCCGCGCGCGTGTAATTCCAACCGCTTACCCGTTTGACCAAACCAGCTCAAGTGGTTCCTTTTTCAAGAACGCACTTGACTATAATGTCTCGGAAGCGATCCGCATCCAGATCAATGGCTCGCCGGATGCTAGACTGAGGCGTGATGAGATCAACGCCGGTCCGCGTCGAGAGAGATGCCCTAATGGGGGTTTACTACGGGCCTCTGTGATCTGATCGTGCACATGCATAACAGTGCTACCAGTCGGAACAGTTGCTCTGGTGAACAGGAATCACTTACTGGATGCTTTGGAAACGCAGAAGCCGAGAAGAGAGTGCAGTCGCACAAAGTAAATCGTATTTAGACCAGTCTAAATACAAAATTGTTCATCAATCAATTGACACAATGGACGCTGATCCTTACTGTTTGATTAATGAGATACTGCTGCTGAACACTCTATTGCAAGATGCAGCCCTCGGAAACTTTCTGTATGATCCTTGGTCGTCGCACATGCATAAAAGTCAGTCGAGCGTATCGTATCGAAATTAAGGTTGCCATGTGTTTAGTGTTATTTCAGCTGTGTCTGATAATTCTTGGTACAAGCAGCGGAGATAGCTCACTGAATTGCGTTGAGAATTTAGAGCAGAGGAAATATCAAAAGAAAATGCGAAAAGAGCTTAGAGATGTAATGTCATAGATTTCTATGATTGGCTCCCAGAATCGCGTGGAGGTGGGTTGTGGACTTTCCCTTATCATAAGCTGAACTTGTCAAAACTCCACGTTATAGTTATAGCATAGATAGTTTCTCATAACATAATATGCTGCATCACCACCCTTCTCATTTTCATTCTTTTCTCCATCTCCTCATATCCGTAGACATTCCACGTGGACAACACTGTTTCACCCAACCGTTTATTTGCAGAAGAAACAAATCCGATCTGGATATGCTTTTGGTAAGAATAATTGAGAATGATTCAAGATTGTGTGCCTGAAAACAAATTGTCTTGTTTACAATAAACACTTGATTAGACACGAAGTAGTGTGAAGCTTGGTAGATCATTTTTTGAAAAACTGCAGTTAAAGGCAGCATCTGAGCAAAATTTCGAACAAAATTTTCTTTTCGCTTACGTGGGCTTCTTCCCGCTGATTCCGAAAATGCAGTCTCCAGCATATGAAAATGTCGAAAATGGGCTATCCCGGAGGCCTCCGATTCTGAATGTGAACGCCTGATCCGAAAGACGCGGAGTCGTGGTGGGACCTTACATCTTGATTGTGTGTGATTACGCACTCTAGCTTACCGATTGATCCCTCGATGGGGGGGGGGGGGTCCTCCAATCGTGGCGTAACTCTTTCAAATTCCGGAGCATTCTTCTCGCCTCCGGTATCAAGAAATGTGCCCGCTACTGGGCCGTTGGTAGTCAGGGCGGCTAGTCTGCGCGAAAATGAAACCTAAAACCATAGGTGCGATAGTGTGAGAATTTGCTCACCCCCTCTTCACCCCTGAACCGGAACCAAGGTGCTCTCCTTCATCAAGAGCCGAGAAAAAATCAACAGTGAGATAAAGCTAAGCAAAGGAGATATTTGTACGGGAAGGAATTGTTTGTGTATCGGAAAGGATGAAGAAAATTCAAAGGATTTTATGAACTTCCAAAAGGAAAAAAATGGTAGCTTCTGTAGGTGCACAGCAACGTCAGCGAGGAAGGTTCCTTGGAACAACGTTCCCTCTGCTTTCAGGGAATAAATAGTTTGAGAGTCATAAAAGTACCCAGTGAAAGGTGTACCTAGTGATTTCTGGACACTTACGAGTTTTCAACATAAAAAGATTCATAAATTTTGTATATGAATAGCTCGTACATGGAAATAGCTACCATCCGAGCCGCCTCGTCCTTCGCTTACAG